ATGGCGAAAGCAGTCGGTGTACACTAGAAGGTGGTGGCCGAAGCTTGTCTTGAAGTGTACAGCATCTATCTCTGCAATCAGTGTAGCCTATGTCCTGCCCGAGAACAAGCTTGTCATCTGTCCTCTCAGTATACATGGTACAATAGACATACAGGTGACACATTGATTCTCTATCCGCAAATGCTGCTAGTGATAATCCTCTCCGGCAACCCCAGTGATGCCCACTCCCAGCTCCTCCAGGCAAGCCACGTCCTCTTTCCCTCTGCCTGCCATTCTAAAAGTTGTTCATCCTCGACGTATGTTCCGCCCATCGTCTTTCCGTCTTCAGCATCGTCCGCCCTACTGCTCATCTCCTCAGCGGTCACTGAAGTACGGGTGCATGGGTGCGGGCGGCCGTCCTCGACCCCGACCGTGACGACGGTCCTGGAATATGGGAAATATACGGAGATCCTCGCGGATGGGGTCCGGCGGGTTGGTTCGCATTTCGTCCACCCACTTCACTACCCTCTGCTTCGCCCAATCTCTATCCGGATATCGCTGAATCATCGTGACGAGGGTCTTCAACGTTGGCCGGTACATCAAATCCGTGACTTCCGAGTTCTCTCTGACAAACGCGACGTATTCGTTGCGCTCTTGTTCAAGCCAGCCGATGCTGTCCGGCATTTGATGTCGGTTGGTCGAACCCCACACGTCCATCTGAGACCATTGCTCGCTGGTCAAATGCCGGAGGTTCCGCCCAAAAGCCACCATGATGTCGTTGGTCGTGAACCCTAGGCGGAGGTCGATGGCTTTTGGTAGTGGGTTTACCGAGTTGTGATGATAGCCCCAGATGGCTTTGACCTCCCGCATTCTCAGTGGACGCTCTTTGAGGACGTGCAGGATAGCCTGTTCCAGCTGTATGGCCTGTACGACCATCCCAAAGATTGTACAGCCGTATAGATAGGCGCATAGTTCGTCGCATCGAAGAAGGACGTTGATAGGAACCCTTTCTGTTGGCATCGCGAAGGTGTACCGCATCCACTCCAGTATGGCAGAAATGGGGCTGCCATCCCGGATGTCAGTAATCTTCGGCCATCCACCAGGTAGGAAGTAGGTTCCTGGAACGCTGAAAAAGCCATCCTCTGTGAGAAAGTGTGTGATATATGGGGCATAAACCTCGACAATGCTGACGTCCAGTTCCATGACGTAGTACGCATCCAGTGTTCCGTCCGCGGCTGTGACCATATAACGAAGAAATGGATAGTCTGAAACTGGGCGCCGTAGATAGGTTTGCCGTTCCTGTGTAGACAGCTTGTTTCGCATGATTATCGCCACCGTGGCCGATGAGGTATACGTAAGAGGGCCGGGTGGCTTGTTGACAGGGCCAACATGGAGGGGCATCTGTATGTCGTAGGGAATTCTGGGAGTCGATGTGTTGCCGGTGTCCGGTCCAAAGTTGCGTTCTCTGCTTCGTCTTAGTTGTTTACCTTCGCGTCAATGAAACTAGAGCAATCCGACAACAACAAGAGTTGAATGTGAAAACAACTCCCGCCGACGCGCCGAACCTGAATTACCTTCGATGGGGAGACCAAGTGTGGGCTGATCTTAGTATATATTGTCGGGTGTGAGTATGAAGCTCTAGTTATTGTCAATTTGTTGCCTGGTCAAGTTTGAGCGGTTGACTAATAGCTCCGGCGGTGTGAGGTGTTGCAGTGAAAGAGTAGCGGGAATGTCGGAATGGAAACCAAGCCAGCTGAATAAGAATACCATCAGGCTTCATTTCTTCGAACTCATTTTGAGTGACATGTCGTCGTCATGACCGTCTTCGCCCTCTGCTGAGAGTTCTGTCCTGGCCCTCTGCACCGCCGGAGAGTGACGTGCTCTTTGCCTAAACGTGTGGCTTTGACCCTGAGCTGGAAAGGAGGTTCTACACAGAAAAAGTAGATTCTGAGCCAGTAAGACGGCTACATTCATCTCAATTCGAAATCGTTCTCGGTCTGAGCTCCGACGACATCTGGAGTGAAGGTGACACATCCTGTGACCTGTACATCTGTACGCGAGGGGAGAGAAGAAGAGAAGACGCCACGGAACCAGAACATGGATAATTAATCTCGGATGTCGTAGTGCGCTCATGGTTTCTCGTCGCTCTCGGCGGGTTAGATGATGGCGATGGAGGAGTCTGGTTCCAGGGTGCAAAGTGAGGGTCGGGAGGTGTCGGGTTGCCCCAGCAGCGAAAGCAATAGCAAGCGGATATCTGCTTTGACCACACTTCTGTTGCACCTACGGATTAGCTCTCCTTGATTAGTGTCGACGGAAGCTCGCACTCGACGTTGTGAACATATGTGCTACAAACTCTCCCAAGGCTGCATCGACCCTTGGAAGCACATCTCTGACTAACTATGTGTAGTTAGCGCCTTGGCGCGCAATATCCTGTCTCTGTAAAGGCCTTGTTTCTCTCCGCGTTTCGCGTCGCGCAACGACTTCAGGGCTCCATCGGGCCTCTTGTCTACCTAATATTTGACAAGATGAATGCTCGCGCTTCGACTATTCCGCGTCCTCGGCTCCCGAACCATCACCCGCCCCTCACTGAGCAGCAGCAGGCCTCCATCGCCCTGAGTCGGGTGAACATCTGATGGCTGGGAATGCCCGCTTGGCTCAGCATCTCTTCTCCATGCAGGGCTAGCAGAGCTTGAACTCTCTGCCGCACGCGTAAAACCTCCTCGGGCTTGACAATGGGCTGAACGACTTCCTGATACTCTTCCGTCTCACGGCCTGGCCGACTAAGGACCATCCAGACCACCACTGGGCTATGGGTCACAGAGGCTTTGACAATGGCTCTCAGGCGGTAGAACTCAATGCGCAGCATTGTTCTTGTGTAAGTACCTTCCGTCCCGCCAGAGATGGCTGGGTTTGGTCTTTGTTGTTTTCTATTTTGGTTCATTGTCCTCTGATCCCATTATCCCCTTCATTGTGCTCCTCCGTCCTGACAACGAGCGGACGGGACAAAGGAACAATGGGCATTGTCATGTTGTCCTGTGTATGTCTTCTTTAACTCTCAAGCCGCCCTGTTTGCTGCTGCCATTTTCCATCAGTCCTACAATCGTTTTACTCGTTTCTACCCTCAGTTTGTTGCTATACCACAAGCCCCTTCGTTCTTTGTGAGCAGAATACAACGTTCCGTTGAGTCGCGTCTATTCCGTATAGTCAAGGCAGCTGTATCTTTTACCATGGCTCCCACAACCCGAGCTCGCGGTGCTGCGTCCCGAGGGCCGTTAAGGACTACAGCGCAGGCCGCATATGATAAGAACATCCTCCGCGTCAAGAAGACATGGCCGGTCAAACGCAAGAACAAGAAGAGTCGCGGGATTAATGGGAGCAACAACACCTGCTTCCAGAATACAGCCCTACAGGGAATCCTTCACCTACCCAGATTGATGCACTGGATCATGACCCACAACACGCCAGCGAGAGGCGGCTTTATGAACCCCTGTCGTCCCCCGAAGGATATGTACACGCTCGTGACCGACGGAAAAGAGCGTTACATCACCGGAAGGTCGTGCATCGCATGTCATCTCAAGACGCTTATCCAAACCTACTGGGGAGAACTCCCTGTCGGAGTGTCAGACGAGTTTAGGGGGCACGACCCAGAGATTGCTACCATCGAGGCGTGGACTAGGCTCGCGTATAGGCAGGATCCCATTCAGCAGCACGACGCCGGAGAACACTTCGAGGCTCTTGTAAAAGCCTGTCGTGAGTGCACAGACCCTGATCAGTCTGACCCTGATAAGGATCAGTAAGTGTCCGCATCTCCCTGCCGCCAGCTTCTAGCTAACAGTGTATAGGAAAACCGACCACTACGACCCCACGCTCGATGCTCTCTTGGTCCTGAGACTAAAAAACAGCAATGTGTGCAACGGCTGCAAACAGCCCAGGGTCACACACGAAGAATATTGGCATTTGCCAGTCGGCGTCCTGCGGTCCGTCTCCGCCGGTATTCAGCAATACATGGCCACGGAGGCGCTCCCCGACTACAAGTGCGATAAGTGCAAGCGGACCGGCACTCAGCTCCAGAAGAGCTTCGAAGCCGCCCCCGAGATCCTGAGGGTCAAGCTCAACATCGTGAACCCGGTCACGGGCACCAAAAACACCAGGAATCATCCGAGGCTCGACCAGGAGCTGGATCTGACTAGGTACCAGGCGAACCCTGCTGTGCCCCTCAAATACAAGCTTGTCGGCGTTATGGCCCATTGTGGACCTGAAATCGACACAGGCCATTGGATCTCCAACGTCCAGGGCCCGAAGCAGGTCTTCCGAATCAACGAGGGGACTGCGACGGCCTCTACTAACCCCAACAGCTTGGCACAGAACCCGGTTATCGATAGAGTCGCCGACAGGTGTCAAGCTGTGTATGTGACCTATGTTCGTGTGAGGGACCGACAGCTGGCGGAATTGTTGGGATAAGTGTCCTTGTTATTGCTTCATTACTTATCCCGTGTTGTTGGGTACTGTCGTTACGGTCCTTGTTTCACTTGAGGTTCTGCTCAACCTGTCCCTCTTTTTGTGCTCTTTGTTGTCTGTATCGATACCCCTCGTAATAGAACTCTTTCATCACTTACATTGCTCAAAGACCGCCTTATGTGCCCGAAGAGGATAGCTTGCCATTCGCAGGGCACTGCGCACTCCTTCGAAGGTGTCAGTCCGCACCTCTGTTCTCGGAGGATACATCGTCACCTCGCCTTCACCAGTCAACGTACACACCCAGCTTTACCACAACGTTCATGCGGATCCTTCCGGATGAACCACACAATTGCACCCCTACGGTACCGAAACTTGATGTCTGGTTTTTTTTTTTTTCAATAAAATTCATAGCCGCAGAGCAGTCTGACGTAGTCCCTATCTATACATTCCCAGCTGGGTACGTACATAATATGTATTCGCAGAAATGTCAAAAAAAGGACATTGGAGGGGAGCAGGATGTTCGGCTCTCTGTGTGTGGGTAACAAATAACTGCAAAAAGAAAATGCCCACTCTCGGAATCGAACCGAGGATCTTCTCATGTCGCATATATACGAGTGAGACGCTGTACCACTAAGCCAAGCGGGCGCTTTTTATAAAAACATAATACTGTGCAATACACTATATTGTTACACAAAAAGGCCTTGTATAACTCTAGGTGCTGTGACTTCACTACTTACGAACTGGGTTGCAGCCTTGCACTGGTCACCCGCTCGGACCAAACATTATCACAACAGAAAAGCCATCAACTCTAACTCCCCGAGGCGTGGTCTATGCAGGTTGCGGCGAGAATACCTAGCTGGGCCCTTGCACCTACCTCGTCTGCTCAACGTACTTCCCCAGCCTCAGCGTCACCATCCCTCTCGCCCTCACACTTTGACACAGTCAGCTCCCGTCTGGTCGATGACAGACCCATGCTGCACGATCCCCAGCTCCCGCTCTCCATACATCATCGACCACCCCCTCCTTTCTTCTGATTGGCCCACCGACTCGCAAAGCGATAGTCATGTTGGCGGGGTTCTCAAGCGTGCTCTCCCCACGACGATGCCTCGGGATACATTCAGTAAGAGGACAAGTGCGGGGCACTGCTACTCGGCGGGTATGACGAAGCTATAACGAGCGTCGCCAGCATCCGTCTCCACGTCCTCGAAATTCCGGCGTTCCTTTGTTTGCATCAACTTGAAATTACGTTGAACGTAGCTACATCATGGCGGACCAGAAATCAGCAGCCGGACAGCGATTGACGCAGATTAAAGATTTCTTGACGATGAATAAGACGGCGACTACGATTCCTTGGGACCCCGATTGCACGAAGTTTCCGACACGCAAGGAGTTACCTCAGATTCCTGGTGCGCCGCCAGAGGCTGCGTGGGTGTGGGGAGAGAATGACAACGTACATCTCCCACATCTCGCCAACCTAAAAACCCCATACTAATGTAAAATTAAACAGATTGGCCGCCTCAACCTGCTCACGCCCACCCGCGTGGCAGCCGCCGCAAAAGAAATCCGGACCGGCGAGATCGTGCCCGTGAATCTCCCCCTCGACTGCCCGAAACAGCCCGCCTTTGGCCGCGAGCAGTTCAAACATGAGATCAAGACGCTTTTGGAGAATGTGGCGTATGATGATTTGTATCACATGAATACGCAGAGTGGGACGCAGTGGGATGGGTTTCGACATGTACGCCCTCGTCCTATGCGCGAAACATTAAGAAATAAGCTCACAAAGCGAAATAGTTCGCACATGTTCCAACGGGCAGTTTCTACAACGGCGTAAGTACTATGAAACCACTGTAGGAGTAGTCGATTGACGTACCGCAGGCCAAAGGCTCCGACATCGTCGGCCCCTCCGCAAACCACAAATGCTCCATTCACCACTGGGCCGAACACGGCATCGCAGGCCGGGGCATCCTCCTGGACTACCGCGGCTACGCGCACAAAAAAGGCATCAACTACGATCCCTACGACTACTACCCCATTTCCTGGGAAGAACTCTACCAATGCGGGAAAGACCAAGGCATCGATATCCGTCCCGCGGCCCAAGGCGGGGATATCAAGGTCGGTGATATGTTGTTTGTACGCAGCGGGTGGAAAGAGGCGTATGATACTGCGACGCCGGAGAAGAGGGAAAAGGCGGCGTTGAGACATGGGACGGGGAAGGATGGGGAGGATGGACAGAGGTATGTGGGGTTGAGTCAGGAAGAGAAGGTGTTGGATTGGTTGCATGATTGTTATTTTGCGGCTGTGGCGGGGGATGCGCCGGCTTTTGAGGCGTGGCCTACTCACGAAGGTATGTTTTCTTTCTCCCTCTTTTTCAGCTTTGGATCGCGGTCGGCGTGGTAAAAGGAAGCTGATGAACGCAGATTACCATCTCCACGAGTACATCCTCGCGCTCTGGGGAATGCCGTTGGGCGAGATGCTGGATTTGGAGAAGTTGGCAGTGAAGTGTCGGGAGAGGAATCGGTGGTTCTTCTTCTTTACTTCGGCGCCGGCGAACTGTCCTGGTAAGTTGAAGTCTACCCTTTTCTGGGGCGTGCGCTGATATCATGCCAGGCGGAGTCAGCTCGCATGTCAATGGAAACGCGATCTTCTAGGCAGTAGTGGGCACTGTCAATGGCTCCTCGCAACGAATTTGATACGAGCATATGTTTTGACATGCGAAGATTTACTGATGCTACTTCAAGTCAATCCCTGATAGCTTCAATGTGGCTTGTGACAAGTATAGAAACGGTTTTCACAGCGAGCGGAATGCGCACTGTTCTAGGATTTATACTCTTATGGACAGCCGTCCCAGGATTTCATATCCCTTCGGTTGAATAATACAATGACAACAGTGCTATACACATTTTGTCGGGCCCGGCACAACCCTTCCATACCCATAGATTACATGTTCTCCCCGTCTACACCCACTCCCGTGGATTCTTCAACACATCCAACAACCTCTCCTCCCTGGATCCCTTCTCCGGCTGATGCATATACTGCCACCTGGCCGTGAGCGGCAAACTCATGAGAATGCTCTCAACCCTGCTCCCAGGTGTATTCAAGCCGAAGGCCGTGCCCCGATCATGCACAAGGTTAAACTCGACATATCTCCCCCGTCTCAACTGCTGCCACTGCTTCATCTCCTCTGTAAACGGCATATTCTTCCTCCGTTCTATGATGGGAATATACGAGGGCAGGAACGCGGACAAGCAGTCTTGCACAAATGCGAAGAGCTGCTCACGATCCTTCTCCGTCTCGTCCAAGTCGTCGAAGAAGATACCACCGACACCACGCGTCTCGCCGCGGTGCTTGTTGTTGAAGTACTCGTCGCACCATTTCTTGAATCGGGGGTAGTATGACTTGTCGTGGTTATCGCAGGCGTCCTTTATCGTCTTGTGGAAGTGGATCGCGTCTTCATCGAACAGATAACTGGGTGTCAAATCACATCCGCCGCCATACCACCACGCATTCGTATTCCCCTGCTCATCGGACGTCTCGAAGTACCTATAATTCAAATGCACAGTCGGCGCATTCGGGTTACTAGGATGCAACACCATGCTCAATCCGGCAGCGAAGAAATCCAGACTCTCGACATCCGGGTCCAGCGCTTTATGGTTCACCCGCATTTTCTGTATCGCGGCGCGCGGCAGTTTGCCGTAGACGACGGAGGTGTTGACGCCGGCTTTCTCGAAGACGTTGCCGTCTTGCAGCACGCATGTTATGCCGCCGCCGCCTTCGGGGCGCGTCCAGGTGTCGATTGTGAAGGGTTGGCCATCGACTTTCTCGAGGGCCGCAACGATCTGTTTTTGGTGTGTTTTAATGAATTGTTCCATTCGGAGGCGCATCGGGGAGGTGGAGGTGATGCCGTTTTCGCGCTTGAGGAGGGCGTCTTTTTCGGCGATGGAGGGGGTGTCGGCGTGGACGTCTTCTGTGAGCTGGGTCGTGTTAGGTGCAGCTTTGAGAAGAGGGAGAGAGAGCGTACGATGTTCCAGATTAGCAGGCAGGTGAAGGGTAGGAAGACGTAGAGGCGTAATCGTCGGCCCCAGGGATTGGGCTTCTCTTCTCGCCATTGCTTGAGAGGGTCTGGTTTCTTGTTTCCGTTGCCTTCGACGCTGTAACAGCGTCTTTGGAGTTGTGATCGGATCGTGGGGTTTCGCCGTATGGTTGCGCGGGGCGCATAGCTGTGAGGGTGCTCGAAAGCCCGCGCCAGGCGGGCTGCGGGACGGAATGGGGGCATTGTGGTTGAGCGAGTGTGAATTGGAGTTACTGAGAAAGCATTGAAGATGGGAGCGAGAAAAGAGAGCTCTGCGCTATAAAATGGAGGATGTGGAGGCAAATAGCTCGAAGTTATTGCGATCACACCACGATGGGAGCATCATGGCGGGCTCCGATACCGAGGCGATCCCCGCGACCAACGGCTGCTGAGTCATCAGTCACGTGTATTCACTCAAATACCACATGGCACCTAGTGAGCCTATGGTAAAGAGATCAATCTGAAGGTCAAGTCTTCACGAATGCATCTACCAGTTTCGCCGAGGCGACATCTGGGATCTCCATGGGGGTGTGCAATAAGTAGCTCTTCTCGTTCCACGTCTTCCATCTTGCGGGGCATGGTAACTCAAAGGCGACTTCTGGAGGGAACCGTCGATGTAAGCTGAAAGCTCACTTTTAAGGCAACTCCCAAGATTGAAGCTATCAAGGTCAGAAGTACAGCTCCAGATGAGTCAAGTGGACGCGGTCACGAGTTCAAGGCAAGTGACTTGCAGCTCGTTAGCACAGCCTACAAAGGAGTCACTGCAGCGCCGGACAAAGGGCGCAGTGAGTTCCTACGCAAAAATCACGGTGAAAGCATACCTCTTTGATTCCCAGCACGCCGACTCAGACACTTCCTAAAAGTGTGAAACAACTCAGCAGCTGTGAAGGTGAAGTGAACATTGCAGGTGAACAGCTCCACGGTGACTAAGCAACCTCCCCGCCCGCCTCCCGCTTGCTGCCTACATAGCACCGACACCTCTCACCGCCCACATACGCCCCTACATAAACACCCCCACAAGCCCACGATATTATCCCCACGAGCGACACATCTTCACTCAAAGCTTTCACGCGTCCGAAACCGCCACCATGCGTTCCAAGTTCAAAGACGAGCACCCCTTCGAGAAGCGCAAGGCGGAAGCCGAGCGGATACGACAGAAGTACAACGACCGGATTCCCGTACGTATTGCTCTGCACCTCTGCACACATCTCTCTGACGTTCCCAGGTCATCTGCGAGAAGGTGGAGAAGTCGGATATCGCTACCATCGATAAAAAGAAGTACCTCGTCCCCGCGGACCTCACCGTCGGCCAGTTCGTCTACGTGATCCGCAAGCGCATTAAGCTGTCGCCCGAGAAGGCCATCTTCATCTTCGTCGACGAGGTGTTGCCACCGACGGCCGCCTTGATGAGCTCCATATACGAGGAGCACAAGGATGAGGACGGCTTCTTGTACATCACGTACGTATATCAAGGAAGAGAGATGGAAGACTAGGCTGACAAGCACAGGTACTCGGGCGAGAACACATTCGGCGACAACTGAGGCAGCACGGGCTCAACTTCTGGCTTATTTGCAAAC